CTTGAGGTTGTAGAGCTGGAGTTGATGACTGGAACGCACCTGAAGTCAAAGGCCATTTTCTCTAGAGTCTTCCATCTTCTTCTACTTCGGGTATCTCGGAAACCAAAGTTGGAAACTTCATTTCCAACCTGGTCTTCAGAGGGAGAACCAACACCCAACACTTGCTCATCAGCTACCAACCCATCTGAGTCTAAGGCAGTCCTGATTAGCTGGCTCCAAAGTGCCACTACACATTAACTGCTGACGGTGCTAAGTGAAGACCGCGCTTCAACCTAAGATACTGCTTTTTACAAAATTCCATCTGACGATACATCTTAGCTACAAGATCAGTGTCCAAATTCTTCCTGCTATGGGTGGTATTTTTGTTTTTATTTTAAACAATTTACACTGCTGACAAAGGGGATTTTTACCCCGTTTGGTCCCCACACAACTCTTTCCAGAAATAACTACCCTGAAGTGCTTTATCAATGGGGGAAAGTTACTGTCTAAATGGACCTGCATAAAGAAGCATGTGTGCACAAGAAAAAGCACAGGACAAGAAATGAGAAGACCTGAATTCTATTCCCCAAATCGATACTTTCTTGCTCGTTGACCTCCCGCAAATCACATCAATTCCTTGAGCCTCAGGTTTCTCATCTGTCAAACAAATTGTAACACTGCCAGAGAAAACAAGCATAGGATATGGTGGCAGCCAGTCTTAAAGAGAGACTAAGGAGACCTTTGTGTTTCCTCGCTTCCCTGAAAAGAAGGGAATAAGCCCGAAAGCCTTTCCAGCCCCTTTGCCAACCCTCTCAAATAACTGTAGTCAAAAAGGGTCACCGCCATCAAGTCACGATACTGATTCACAGTGACCCAATTGGACAGGGTAGAACTGCCTCTGTACATTCCCAAGAGTGTAACTCCATGGCAGTGGAAAGCCCTGTCTCCTGAGGAGCAGCTGGTGGTTTCAAACTGCTAACCTTGCAGATAGAAGCCCAATGCATAACCACTACACCACCCGAGCTCCTCATACTGTAGTGTGATCTGAAAAGATGAATGGTGGGGAAAGGGACTGATGATTCCATACTCCTAAACCTCGATTCCCACTCTTAACTCACGGTCTTCGAGTCGATTACAACTCATAGTGACCCTGTAGGTCCAAGTAGAACTACCCCCGTGTGTTTCTGAGACAGTAACTCTTTATGGGACTAGACAGCGTCACCTTTCTCCTGCAGAGCGGCTGGTGGTTTCAAAGTGCTAACCTGGCTGTTAGCAGCCCAATGCATAACCACTAGGCCATCAGGTCTCCGAAACCTCAATTTGCAGCATTTAATGTGTTCAGCAGCCCAATCTTATCCATGGTGTCCTTCGCTCTTCTCATCCCAAACCAAAATATGGACTGTCGTGCAAGTGAATTACTTACTAAGATCCTTCTAACCATAAAGTAACTGGGCGGGGTTATGCAAATGAGGTGCTCGGCCCTCATTCCACCCCAACCACCAAGGGGATTGGATAACTTGCTAATGATGTAAAAAAGGTGCATGGTAGCCTTGTGGGAATGGAACCATGCAAATAAGATACCTGCGATCCTAATAAAGGGACTGGTCCATTTTGCTATCCTACTAGGCTTAAAATGAGCCATCGCAGTGGTGGAAAAGGAAGATGACACGACACAACCATCCAGAAGGAGAGACGGGAACAGAGCACATTCTTTGGACCTGGGGTTCCTGTGCTGGGAGTGTCCTTAACGTAGGAGACAGAGAAAGGGAGCCGTAACACCAGAGATAGTGAGAAGCAGTAGTAGATAAACAATGGCAGGGACTAGGCGGAGACAAGGTGCTGGGCTTCCCTGCCCACAAAGTGAGGAAGTTGAGCCCCTTTGGACAAGAGGCTTGCTGGAGGAGGAAGGTGTCTCTTTGAATTTAGTGGACCTAAGTTCGTTTGTCCAAGGAGTTCGAACTGAGTGCCCTCAGGTCTAGGCTTCCTGATGGGACTGGGGTGTCTCTAAGCACTTATCAGCAGAGCTGAAAGAGCTTTGTAATACCTTCCAGGGCATGACAGAGGCCAGAGCAAGACCTATCTGTGAGTGTGGCTGAGAAGAGGCTGCCTTGATCAAATAACCATATCCTGGACATTCCTAAATCTGAATTGTATGTAACCTGTTCCTTCCCTAATAAACCCCATAACCATAAGTATGGTCTGCGAGTTCCGTGTGGCCACTGTAATGAATTTATGAAGGCAGTAGAGAAGTAGGAAGCACCATGAGACAGATGGTTGGTAGCAGAACTGGTAAAAATGTTGGATGCTGAACACTTGTCTAATCTCTGTCTCAGAGGAGTTAGTCTTAGGCTGATACTGATGGTGATTCTCTCTGACCCTCATGCTGCCACGTCATTTTCACACAGACTTTCACCCAAGTGCTTCAACTGCCACGTAGACCAGTTCACCCTTCCGAAGCCAACAGGAAAGCACAGCTTTGGGAGTTCCAGCAGTGATTAGCGGAAGGTTCTTAATGAAGTGGCTTCCCGAGGAAGCTAATTTGAGGATTCCTTCATCAGCGTGTGAAGCGAAACCCAAATAGTACCAGTTCCCTCTTTCGGCACTTCCTGTAGGTCACTTCCACCCTTCACCAGGCATATTTTCAATGAGGTCAAGAAACAGACTTGCCGCCCCACCCTTCTTCCTGTTCATTGCGTTATCTGCCATGTTGAAGGATCCACATCACGTAAGCAACAGCCTAGATGGACACTCTTACTGACACACCAGCTTCAAGGGTGAATTCTGGCCCAGAGAAAGAACTCTCTCTGACTTGGTGAGTCAGAAAAAAGTACCAGCTGTTTCTTCTTATAAGGGGGCCTTGTCAACGGGTCAACCCAGTGCATTCAGAGAGCATTTGGGGACCTACAGCTTTGTCATTTAGTGTCCCCACAGCTCAGTATCAATGTTCAACAGACAGCAGCAAGTGACACTCCAGAGTCCTCTGAAACTGTTGGCAGGACACATTTTAACTCACCCCTTCCCAAATGTCTGCAGATGAGGGCTTGAGCTAGCATCATCTGTCCACAGCGCAGCATACAACCCCAGCCAGCATCTGATGAAGGGCCGGTTCCCCCTGTAGGCAAGAAGGATGAGAATAGACATACTCAAAAAAAAAATCCGACTCATAGTCACAGGGCAGACTAGACATGCTCCACAGGGTTTCCCAGGCTACAAATCTCACAGAAGCAGACTGTCTCATCTTTCTCTCGCAGAGCAGCCGGTGGATTCAAACTGACAACCTATCAGCAGCCTACACTTAACCCACTACCCCGCCAGGGCTTCTGAGAATGAATCTAGGCCCTGCAATTGCCCTTTTCCTAAATATCAGCATATTTGAGAACCATACAAAAGAGGCAAACACATCTACTCTGAAGAGGGAGGCAAGATATCATAGATTAGGCATAGAATTGGGACTTGAGAAGATAATGCTGATGATAAACAAAAGGGGTTGGAGCTAAAGATAAAACAAACAAAACTTATCCAAGAGGTAGTTTTTCTGCTTGGAGATTTCTAAGTATGCATGCGATTTTGATAAATGACTGCCATGTAAGGTTAGTTTTTTTTTTAGGCGGGGGGGGGGGGGGCTCTTACAGCTCTTATCACAATCCATACATATATCCATTGTGTCAAGCACATCTGTAAATATGCTGCCATCATCTTTTTCAAAACATTTTCTTTCTACTTGAGCCCTTGGTATCAGCTAATTTTTTTCCTCCCTCCCCCATGAACCCTTGATAATTTATAATTTTTTTCCATGTCTTACACCGAATGCTGTTTCCCTTCACCCACTTTTCTGCTGCCCATCCCCCTGGGAAGGGGCCATACATTGATCCTTATGATCGGTGCCCCCTTACTCCCCCAACCCTTCCCTTACCCTCCTAGTATCACTACCCCCTCATTGGTCCTGAGGGGTTTATCTGTCCTAGATTCCCTGTGTTGTGATCTCTTATCTGTACCAGTGTGCATGTTCTGGTCTAGCCAGATTTGTAAGGTAGATTGGGGTGATGATATTGGCAGGGAGGAAGCATTAAAGAACTAGAGAAAAGTTGTGTGTTTCATCAACGCTATACTGTACCCTGACTGGCTTGTCTCTTCCTTGTTGCCCTTCTGACAGGTGATGTCCAATTGACTATTGATGGACTTTGGGTCTCCACTCCGCACTCCCCCTCATTCACATTGATATGATTTTTTTGTTTTGTTTTGGGTTTTTGATGCCTGAAACCTGATCCCATTGACACCTCATGATCACACAGGCTGGTGTGCTTCTTCCATGTGGACTTTGTTGCTTCTCAGCTAGATGGCCACTTGTTTATCTTCAAGCCTTTAGAACCCCAGACGCTATATCTTTTGATAGCCGGGCACCATCAACTTTCTTCACAACATTTGCTTATGCACCCACTTTGTCTACAGCTATCGTGTCAGGGAAGGTGAAGCATCACAAAGTGCCATGTTAGTAGAACAAAGCATTCTTGAGGGAGTACTTGAATGGAGGCTCAATGTCCATCTGCTGCCATACTACTTTATAAATATATGTATATAGATCCATTCCCCTGTCATTGTATATAAATGTATTTACATATATACGTGCCTGTAGACCTCTATAAATGTCCTTTGCCTCCCAGTTACTTCCTCTATTTCCTTTTACTTTACTCTTGTTCCATTATCATGTTCAACCTTCATTTGGGTTGTAGTAATTCCTCTCGGCTACATTGTCCTTGATCGAGCCCCCCCACCCCCACCCCCCACCCCGCTTGCAAGCATTCTATGCCCTCCTCACCATCAATTTTAGATCACTTGTTCCCTTGTCCCTGGGTTTGTTGGCACCCTCCCTTCCTTTCCCTCACCGCCCCTTCTCCCACGTCCCCCCAGAACCGTCGGTCCCATTATTCTCTCCTCCGGATTGTTCACCCCGCCTATCTTGTCCAGATAGACATGCAAGACAATAACACACGTGAAAACAAAGCAAAGCAAAACATAACAAAAGAAAACACAAAACAACTCAAACAAAAATATATAAATAATGTTTTAAAATGCAAAACCAGAAAAGCCCTCAAACAGTTCCAGGTCTGTCCTTGATCTTTATGAGTGTTTTACGGTAGAGTGCGTTGGGGTGCCAAGCCCTGGCCCCAAAGTCCAACTTTGGCATGCCTCTGCTTTGCTTCCTCCCCCTGCTGTTCCACTGCATGTCTTTAGTGTTTCGCCCCGTGTGGTGAGGTCTGATCGGGCACATCTCCCGCACCGTGTCCCCAGTACTGTCCCCCATAGCATTTTGGGCCAGTGAGGGATGCCGTGTCTCATGGTAGGGCCGGCCCTGTGATCCTCTCTGTGCATTGACTTCTCTGAGCTGGAATACTGTCCTCCGAGCTTGGTGGGCCGGAAGAGTGGAACACCTATATGGCTTAGTTAATCCCATTTCGTCATCTGACTGCCTTGCCTTGCACAGTTCATTTCTGTCTCCCATCTTACCTTAGTTCAGGAACAAAGGCTATCAAGGAAAATCATTAAAATGGTCAAAGATATTAGGAAGGCTCTTGCCTGTTTAAAAGATACATTACAAAGCTCTGAACAGCAAGAAAGGCATTGTACAGCAGAAGGAAGGTACTAGATTAGGCATTGGAAGATCAGTCTTCAGTAATCTAATCAAAATCTCATCTGTAGACTGGGGCCCACAGCATATTTCCTGCACGTTACCTGTGGGTGTACCATGGGCTTCCAAAAGAACAAACAAATCTGTCCAGGAAGAAGTATAGCCAGAATGTGCCTTAGAAGCAAAGATGGCATATTTTGGACATGTTATAGGAGAGACCAGTCCCTGGAGAAGGACACCATGCTTGGTAAAGTTGCAGGGGGTAGATGGGCAAAAAAGGGAAGATCTTCAACAAGACAGATGGACACAGTGGCTGCAACGATAGGCTCAAACATAAGAACAATGGTGAGGGTGGCAGAGGACCGGCCGGTGTGTCATTCTGCTATACACAGGGTCGCTATGAGTCAGACCAACTCAGTGGCACCTACCACCACCTCTTCCACCGGTGGGTATTATTAAAATTATATGAGAGAGTATTTGTGAAGGTGTTCTACAACCCTGAGATGTAATCAATTAATATGGCCCTTCTTGCCATAATCTTTTTTGTGATGTATTGTAAGTTTTAGCCGCTACACCTATGGTTACAATCCCACGTTGGAGGGAGTTCTGTGTTACAGAATAAAGTGGGATGTATTCTGAGTCTCCACCTCAGTAGAGGATGTGACTCATGTTCATCACCTTTTGTTTCCTTGGGGCTATGTTCTGATGAAGAAAAGAACCACACCTCCATCAAAGCTATTCTTCTAAGAGCCATCTCAGAAATGCAGAAAATAAAATCAGAACAGGAGCCACCCCAAGTGGATCATGTTCGCGGTTACGATCCGAAGTGGTGGGGGCCAAGAGTAGAGGCTGCTGCACAGAGACCATGGGACAGAGCAAAGGAGCAGCACCAAAACTATAGACTGGGCGGCAGAACAAGGGACTGGCTTCCTGGCCCATAGACAGGGGCAGAAGTCAAGGGACCACATGGCTGAGAGGCTGAGGACAAGAGAGAGACTTGGCTGCTGGCTGACAAGAGGTATTGCTGTGGACCAGTGACTATATCCTTACTGTTTGTTGATCCTGGTTTGCTGTAATCTGTTAACTCCCCTAATAAACCCCCTTAATTGTGAGTATTGTCTGTGAGTTCTGTGTGGCCATTCCAATGGATAACTGAACCCAGAAAACAAGTACAGTGTTGTGGGAGGAACGATGATGTCAGGCCAGGGTAAGAGCAAGATGGAGGGTAGAGGCACGTCTGACCTCTGTCTCGTAGCAATAGGCTTTGGGTTGTTGAGTTGGATTCTGCTACTCCCTTGTGTAGCCAGAGATGGTCAAATATGGCCTCCATGACATTTACGCAAATCCACGCCGGCTGATATAAGTATTTTGTACTTTGAATATAAGTATAACTAGACAAATTAATAAGAAACATATCTTAGGAGCCCTGGTGGTATACTAGTTACACATTGGGCTGCTAACCACAGGAGCACAAAACCACCAGCTGATTCACGGGAGAAAGAAAAGGCTTTCTACTCCTATGAAGATTTAGTCTGGGAAATCCACAAGGGCACTTCTAGCCTGTCCTATAGGGTCTCTATGCGTTGGCATTGACTTGATGGCAGTGAGTGAGAATTATATCTCAGAAGGTAGAAAACCCGTTAATAGACACGAAGGGTTCCATTTTAAGAAAACTTCATGTAAAGAAAACCCCATGTAGGTGTCCAGAGTGATTGCATTATTTTCTCGAGGTGCCCAGGAAATCAGGTGAAGTGGATGGCCAATAGGGCAGTTTGTTGTAAGGGATTGCGTTTTGCAGCATAGAAGGGGAAACGTATGACAGAAGCATGATCTCAGAAAAGTCTAACTTTAAAGGGAGTCATCGATCTTGTAAGACTTCCGGGCCAAGGTGGTCACCTCTTTCCTTCTGTTTTGGGGACGGAAGGAAGAATTGCTACAGCGCGATGGCGAAGCCGGAGCCAATTTGTGTGCTGGAAAGGGAGCCCTTTGGCACATGTAAATAATGGAATTACTCAGCCAGACCAGTATAGAAAAGAGTCCATGGGGCCCTCATAAGAGAAAATGTATTCCCAACACCTTGGCAACGTAAAACTGCAAATGTGTTCTAGCTTTGCAAAGAGCTCCTCCACTCAAAGGGTAATGGTTTAGTGCCAGTGGGTCTGTTTGCTTTCCTGCTTGGGTACGTTCTGTGGAGAGGGGGAAACAATGTCTGCATGGAATTCATTCGTGGTCCTTGCCAGAAAGGTTGACTTCACTGCAATGAAGAGGCTCACTCCTGCATCAAAAATGGGTCAGATTTCCCCTCTGGAGTGCAGTTTCCGCCAGTGGCATCTGGTGACCTTCTCTGACAGAGCCAGCAGAGCTACGGAGAAGCAGCCTATTTGCAACAGTTTCACAAGCTGGCTCTCGGAGGAGCCCAGTCACTCCATTTCTGAAGCTCTCCTGTTTGGAAAAGGCAGCTGATCCTCTAACAGCTCAGAATTCATTCCAAGGAAATGGCTCTGCCAGCGGTACAGGGCTATCATTTCATTTACAAAAAGAAAGGAAACAAGACAAACCTCTCACTGCCCTCCAGTCAATTCCAAGTCATAGAGACCAGACGCTAAGGCACAGGAGGACAAGGTCCCCTTGAGTTTCTGAGGCTGTCACTCTACAAGAGTAGAAAGTTCATCTTTCTCCCTTGGAATGGCCGGATTAGAACTGCTGACTTTGCGGTGAGGAGCCCAGTGTGTACCCACTATGCCACCACGATTACAGTTTCATTTCATGGAGGGGGTGGATTTCAAGAGAGTTATTTCCTTTCTTTCAAGGCAGAATGATCTTTAATAATCAAGTAACCCTACAAAGCAGTGCGCTGTCATTGGATAAGTAGTGCCCACATGAGACCGACGTGGATTTTCCCCTTTGTTCTCCAACATACTACAAGTAACACAATCAAAGTGCTTGGTAGTTCCTGAACACTTGTATATGGGCTCAAAAATATACTAGCCTTGCACAGTACGGAGCCACACGTGTTGAGGTATGTCAGCAAGGACACATTCTAGATCAATCCAAAATGGGTGATACTGCCCCCTACCCAGTATCAAAAAACGAATCTCACTGCCACTGAGTCCATGCTGACTCATAGTGACCCTACAGGACAGAGTAGAACTGCCTCTTGTGAGTCTCCGAGAACGTACCTCTTTACGGGAGTAGAAAGCATAGAAAGCCCCATCTCTCTTCCTTGCAGTGGCTAGTAGTTTCAAATTGCTGACTTTGTGGAGTGAAACCCACCAGGGCTCCTTAAGAATGATCCAGGGGGACTAAAAAAGCAGATCCCTCTACAATATTCTTAATTATGGGCTATAGTGCAAACATATTTTTCATGGGGGGGGGCACTGAGTAACATTTTTTTTTATTGAAAAGAGGGCGACAGGCCAAATAAGTTTGGGAGCCTATGTTTTAGATGAAGTATACAGCATACCCACTGCTCCCCGACTCCAACTCTTTGCCATAAAACCCCAAATGACACCCACTTCCATCTAGTTGATAGCACTCCTAGTGACCCTGCATAGAGTTTCTGAGGCTGCCAATCTTTACAGGAGCAGCCAGCCTTCTGTTTCTCTCTGCAGAGCAGCTGGTGAGTTTGAACCACCAAGATTTTGGGTGAGCAGTCCAACACCTATGCCATAGCACCACCAGCGCTTCTTGCCATCATGCGAAGTCACCAATCCCTCAGGCAAGCTATCTATGCGGAAGAAAGCAGAGTACAACAAATGGTATACCTACCAATGGGTGAAAATTTCCTTCTGTATGTAAACCATAGACGAGAACTTACATCAGACAACAGCTGGGGTCTTTCTGTAATTACATGTGGAATTAAAGTTAAATCACCAAACTTCACTAAAAAGATCGGCCTTTCGTTTCTAGGCCAACAACCATTCCAACTCATTTTCCAAGAACCAGTCAATTGCATTTGAATAAAGGATATGATCATCTCATTTCACACACCTATGTTTTGAGCAAAGGTATTGGTACAGTGATACTGGGGGTCTCGTGCTCCTCCTTCCCACCGAACTCTATCGCCACGGCAAGTGCTAACACCAGGGTGGCAGCCACCAGACAAGGAATAGGAAAAGCAAGGCACTTGGAGAATCCATTAATAAGGCAAACTCGGTTCTTGATGACACTTGGTTGGATCTCTTGTTGGTACCCACTGTCAGTTATCTAAAACTAGGGGATGTGAGTATGTGAGACTTGAAAGGAACTCTCCCTGATCAGTAAATTAGTTAAGAATTAAACCATAGTATCTAGTGGAACTAGCATCTGCAATCTAAGTTGGATGTAGAACACCCCAAATGAGTTTGTGTCTTTTGCCATAGCATGTCTTCTAGTAGCTTATGACATGCATTTACTCGGACAGCCACCAAATCTGATGCCCTACATTTTCCTTGCTGTGGTTCTCCTTTTCTTACTCTTCTGTCTAGAACTTATAGCCATTGCACCCCAACAGAAGCATAGCCATTGCACTTCAAAAGAAGAGGACATTGTAAATTGTTCTGTTTGGATTTGGTCTCCCTTTCATGTCCCCCATTGCCTGTCACATCCTGGGAAGCAGATATATGATGGTTAAAGAGAAAACTTCTAGAGTCATAGACTACTGCTACTTACCAGCTGTGTAATCTTTTACATACATATATACACACACATACAAGTATACATATATGTATGTATATAATTTATTTTAGTTTGTTGTTGAGAATAAATACAACAAAATATATACCAATTCAACCACTTCTAAGTGTATAATCCAGTGACAGATTATATTCTTCATTCCCATCCTCTTTCTGTTTTAGCCCCTTCCCCTATTAACATAAACTCCCTTAAGCTTTCAAGTGGCTGTTGTCTGTTTGAGCCAATATAAATGGTTCTTAAGAACATTTATGCCAAGGCAGACAGTCTTTGATTAGTCAAGCTGAACCTATTACAAAGACTTCGGGGGATATTTTTAGTTTCATGTTTAACGATTATCTCAGGGCCATATTCCCAAGGGTTCACCCGGTTTCCATGGCTCCGACATACCTGGCTTTCATGATAATTCCAGCTGGCTGGTCTTGTCTCGTAACCTCTCTAAGTTCTAGTTTCCTCATTTGTCAAATAGAGCAAATGAAAAGTTGATTTCACAGAGTTCTTGTAGTAGTTAATAAGACAGTGCTTATATGGCACCTGGCACACAGTAAGACTGGGATAAATGCTAGCTACAGAACCTGAATGTGTCGTGGTTATGCATTGGGCTGCTAACTACAAGGTGAGTGGTTCGAGACCACCAGATGCTCCATTACAGTCTCAGAAACTCACAGAGACAATTCTACCCTGCCCTATAGAGTCACAATGATTCAATGGCACCTGGTTGGGTTTGAGAGATTATTATTACATACCTCTGCTGCAAAGGTTTATACCATTTACCCCTTCTAGCTTGTCTACAGGCTAGACAGGGTGGATAAAGTTAGATGGAGATTTTTTTTGGTTAGGTGGAAATTTTAACAATAATTTCACTTTGAAAGGCGTCGCCCAACATAATATTTGCATATAAACATATTTGGCAACTTTGGGGGATTCATATTGTCACGGACTGTAGAACTAGAAAAAGTGGTCTCCAACCCGATCATTTTACATTAGTGAAAGAAGTTAGGCCCAGAAAGATAAAGTAATGCTTCTGAGGTGAAAATATCCCCTGAAGTCTTTGTAGAATCTGAATGCCAGCCCTCGGCTCCCTCCACAGCTCACAATTCAAATGAAGGAAGCCACACTTGAGGAAACAGAGTTCCTCTCTCTTGCCCTTTCGACCAACTGTTTCTTGCTCCTCACTCCACCATGCTAGGCTCTCAGAAGCAGCTTTCTCCTGAGGCCGATGGAAAACCCAGAGAGACCCTCTTTCCAATTTCAGTTCGATTTAGATGCTGGAGCACAGCAGTTTAAGGTTACAAGTTCTCTCCAAGAATCTAAGAATGGCAGGACTTTTGCCACTATTTAAAAAACGAATCATGACATGAAATACAATGAGTACAAGGAAGAAGAAAATGTTCTAAAATTGATTGTGGTGGCAATGACTGCAGCACTCTTCCTGATATGACTCAACTATTGAATTGTATGATATATACAAGTGCCGACAAAACGGCTAAATATATTCTGATTTCTGTTCAAATAGTATATATCTTTCGCCTTTTACTAAAAAAACCTGCTAAATAAAAAAAAGAATTTGAGGGTCAGGAAGAAAGTATCAGCCTCCTTTCCATCGAGCTGCAGCGGATAAACATTCTACCCAAAAACAGATGCGTTATACCAGGAATGACTCTGAAATGCAAGGCTTATAGAATTTAGGGGGTGGGGTTGTCCTCCTTTAAGAAAACCAAAAATGTATTTTAAATTTTATGTGGTAGTTACATAATCTGGTGTCAATTTGGGACTTGAGAGGATTAAGAGTGAAAGGGTGGAGTCCAGTCTGTCAATTGGATCACAGCCAATGAGGCCTCTGTGTGGGCATGGCTTTCTCCTGAAAATTCTGGGAAATCTGGGATTTCCTCCTTGGAGACAGGAGTCTCTCTCTCTCTCTCTCTCTCTCTCTCTCTCTCTCTCTCTCTCGGCTCACTCCCATGGAAACGCTCTACTGACAAGACACATGGTGCTATGCTGATAGACCCCATGCTGTGGGAACTGGAGAAGCCACAAGGAAAACCCCAGCCAGCACTGAGATGCTTACAACGCCACTGGATCCAAAGACTTTGGCCTAGGATCATCCTGCACTTGGCGTCATTGCATGTGTTGTGTTTCGTGAGTCTGAAGAGGACTTTATAGATTGGTGTTGGACATATGGGCTAATATTGGGCTTATGGGCTTGGACTGAACTGGGTTCAGATGCTTTCTTAATGTACCATTACCCTTTATATAAAACTATTATACACATATGAGTTTCTATGGATTTGTTTCTCTAGTCTACCCAGACTAAAACACCTTAGTTTTGCAAATGGTACAAAAATCTACAACCATGTAAACGTGCATCTAGGGCAGCGGTTTTCAACCTGTGGGCAGTGACCCGTTTGGAGGTTGAACAACCCTTTACGGGGGTCACCCAATTCATAACAATAGCAAAATTACAGTTATGAAGTAGCAGCGAAAATCATTTGATGGTTGGGGGGGTCACCACAACATGAGGAACTGTATGAAAGGGTCGCGGCATTAGGAAGGTTGAGAGCCACTGATCTAGGTTCTTCTCAGGGCCTTTGAAGGGGCCCAAGGAAGTGCCAGGCTTAAACTAAATTGGCTACAAGGCCAATCAATGCACCTTGGAATGGCAGTTCACAATGATCAAGACCACCCAAGGAGGAAAAGGGGAATAAGTATTTGACCTCAGGCTCCCACCCCAGTTGGGTTTTTCCAATTAAGTTCTAATAAATCATACCTGTTGTAAGGAGATGTTGCTTCCCTAAGATCCATACCAGCTCATCTGTATCTGGAAATTCTTCTAGGTAGTCAGCGAAAATAGTCATCTGATTTTCATACTTGGATAAAACTGAAAGAAAATTAAAGTAACTTAAGCAAAATGTCACAGCAAAGGGGCTTGCTTATGTGGTTTCCCTTGCCTTGAGCATGAAAGGTCATTGGCTGAACTGGTAATGAAGCAAATCCTTCTCCTTGAGGAAAGAGATAGTCACGCGCCTGGACCATCCTGTAGTAGAGGGATTTCTTCTTGGCCATCTCTATGTTGTTGTTACGATTTTATTTTTCACTTCAGACTCATTGTATTTCTTTATTTTCACGATTTTTTAATTGTAAAAATATAGATCTCACCAAACCAAACCCGTTGCCCCAAAGTCCATTCCGCTTCATAGCAACCCTATGGGTTTCCAAGGCTTTATTTAAATCTTTATGGGAGCTGAAGGCCCCGCCTGGCAGTGACTACTACACTCGCCCCACAACACTACCAGGCCGCCTTATACAGAACACAGCACGTGCCAATTCAGTGCTTTTCAGGCGTACTGCTTAGTGCTCTTGATTAATCAGCCTTGAGATAATCTCTAAAACTTAAACCCCCAATATCCAGAGGAGTCTTTTTAAAAACCAAACAATAGTTCAGGTCAACTAGCTTTAAAAAAAGAAGAAAGAAAGAAAAGTTTGCCTCGATCATTGTCCTCTTTTAAGACTAGCTATAGGGGATCAAAGGGATAACAATAACTCAAAAGATTAGCCAGAAAGCTTAATGATACTGAGGGAAGAAAATGGAGGCAAGGAGGGTCATCAGTGTCTCTAAATGGCACACGTAAAAATGGCTCACTTGGTGTATGTTGTGATACGTATATTCTCAACCAAATAGCCTTTTTTAAAATTACTTTCATCATGTGTAAGTGATTTTCTCTTTCTCAATGTCACATTTGGTACATTCTCTGAATAATTAATTGAACACATCCACACACATTAACAGCGAGTCAATTTTGACCAACAGTGACACTGTAGACTCCGGGGGCTTCCAAAAATCTTAACCTGTACAGTCTTTACAGGAGCGGACAGCCTCATCGGCCTCTGAGGAGCAGCTGGGGGATTTTGATTGCTGGTGCGCAGCCCAAGGTGTAGCCCACTACACCCTGTGTGGCCAGCTTTGTCCAGAGCCACTTACTAGCTTCTCCTAGCACAGGTGTAGCACGGTAATACAGTAATGCCTGCATTCCTGCCCTCCGCCACATTACAGAGAGTATTGTATGATTGCTAGCAGCCAGTGACTTCGAAATTATACACAACTGTGAAAATGGTAATGTGCTAGCTGGACACCGAATGCTTTCACAGTATTTTAATTTACCACTCTATTCATACGGCCAAAAAAAAACGCCATTGAGAATAATGATAAAGATCACTTGTTTTACAGACTGACTATGCTTATCTCCCAGAATAAAGCAACCCAATAAATATAATGAAATCTCACTAGTTTACAAGCCACACTTTCAGACCACGGTAGATTGTGTTGATTATTTTTTCTAATAAAAAAAGAAAAGAACTACATAAGCACAGCGATTAATGCAGAAAAGTCATTTGACAAAATATAGCACCTATTTTTGATAACAAACACTCAAAAAACTAGGAATAGCAGGGAAATTCATCAACATATCTAAAGGCACATCCACAATGGAAAGAGTCTGACAACATCCCTATTGTGGGTGCAATGATGGTCTTTATCACTGCTCCTATTCAACATGCTCTTGAAAGTCCTACACAGCGCAATAAGGAAAGAAAGCATTATGGAATTCCCATTCTTCTCAAGGCTATCCATAGTTCGTTATGATCCACACGGCCAAATGTCTTTGTATAATCAATGCAACATATCATAAAGCACACAGGGGGCAACATTATGAAAATCTTAGTAATAACCAAACACTTTGAGGGAACAAGTCACTGGGCCTCTGGGCTCAGGACCCTAATCTCAAAGGACACCAAGATCAAGTGACACAGCACAGTCCACAAAGACAGTGTTCTACATACTAGTTTGGTTGAGTAGCAATCAGAGTCTTTAAAAGCTTGTGAGTGGCTATCTAAGGTGCAACTATTAGTCTCTCCCCACCCAGAGCAAAAGAAGAGTGAGGACTAAAGGAAAACATTAGTCCGACCCAGAAATCAGAAGAACTGGATGGTACCCGGCTACCATTGCTAACCAATGTGAAAGGGACCGGGCAGAAGGCCCTGAAGAGAGTGGCAGGAAAAAAAGTGGACCCAAACCCAAAATCTTAAAAAAGACCAGGCTTATCGGTCTGACAGACTGATGCAATCCCTGATACTATGATTCTTCGATACCCTTCAAGCCTGGAATTGAACCCACCCCAGTGGCTCAACTTCTGGCCAAACAGTAGACTAACACCAGGGAAGTATAAACTCATTAGAATGCACTATCCGTCACATGAGATCAACAGGGCCACTTTTGGCCAGGGATAAAGCTCAGAAAGCAGGAAGGTTAAGCAAAAGATGAACAAAGAAGAAGTACGAAGAATGTTATTACATTGCGGGGATTGCAATCAATACCACAAAATTTGTAGAAATTGTTGAATGGTGAACTTATTTGCTCTAAAAGCTTTCACCCAAATCTGTTTTAAAAACCAACCAACCAAAAATCAAAAAACGAAAAACCAGAGAAACCCTCTGGAGCAAAGTTCTACTCTGAAATACCTGGGATGGCTGTGAGTCGAAATCAACGCAATGGCAAAAGGTTATGTTGGGATGTGGTAAAATGCACTTTTTACCATCTATGGGGAAGGGCCCGCTGAAAAAAGTAGAGTGATATAGGAAGGGGTTGTACTTCAGAAGTTCTTTGTAGAGAATTTTCTGAGAGAAATAGTGGGCGGGGGGGGCTTCAATATGTTCGAGGCGGGGGTGGGGGAAGATGGAATTAAAAGATAATAGAGTTTTCCCACCAACTTTTTGAAGCCCTCCTGTGTTGTAAGTAGTAAAGAAGTTGCATGCTCCCAGAGGCTGGCGTCAGCGTAGTGGGCTCAGGGCGGGCACAATTCCTGCCATGTTTCTCTAATGTTGTCCCCAATGATGCTATGGGTCAATGAGGAACGCTGTGTCCCATGATGAGGCCGGCCCTGTGGTCGTCTCTGTGCACTGCTGCTCTGAGCAGAAACATTGTCCTCAGGGCTTGGTGAGCCAGGATGTGCTTCACTTTTTTTTCCCCCTTTCCCCCCTCGTTGCCTCCTGTGTGCTCTGATCAGACAAGTCCCTCTTCTTGAGCTGTAGCTTCAGTGCTGTCCTCTCAAGTGAACTTTTATGTGGGGTGGGGTGGGGAGAGTGGTGCTGTCCACTTAGTTGGTAATGGGGGCCAGCAACAGAGCAGCAGGG